AATAATAACGAATCGTAGAGTTCCGGAGGCTTTAATAACTCAGAAATAACCGTACTGGTACATGTTGCATGCTTTCTACACACGCGGTTCACACACACACATTTTACACACGCATGCGCGTAACATGTGATTACATAATCATGACATCCCCCGTTTTCTAATAAAGTGAAATTACATGTGTTTAAGTACAACTCAACATTAGCAGTTCATAGATCATTTAGATCAGTTCTTTAAAATCCGTATCTGGATGGTGGCTTTACAACTCTTCCGCTCCTAGTCTTTGTCTCGATGGCTTCTCTTGGCTGTTCTGTCTTGGGTAATTCTGCAGTTATCCGGAGTTGCTCTGGGACTTTCGTAACTTCGGTTGATTCCCTGATGTGGCTGCGGTTTCTTCTCAATGTTCTTCCTGCATCGTTTGTGACTATATAAGAACGTGGTACGCCTTCAACTTTGTCCTGTATGGTCGCTGGGGTCCATTTCAGTGTTGAMGGATCTTGGATGTTAACTTTCTGGTTTGGAAGTAACGGTGGTAGAACTTTGCAGCTTCTATCGTAGTAGTACTTTTGCTGTTGTTYTCTGTGTAACAGTCGTTCTGTAACTTCATTGCTTGAAGGTGCTCTCGCTATCTTCCTTGGAAGGTTATCTTGGATTGGTCTGCCCAAAAGAATTTCTGCAGGTGATGGTAGCTTGTTGTCAATGGGTGTTGACCTTAAGTTTAGCATCGCCATGTGTGGATCTGCATTAGTTGATTGTGCTTTCTTTAAGGTCCTTTTCACGGTGTTGACTTGTGCTTCGATGAAACCATTGCTAGGTGCGTAGTGTGGAGAACTTGTGATGTGTTGGAATCCGTATTGTTCTGCGAACTCTTTGAATGCGTAACTATCGTAGTGGGGACCGTTGTCTGAGCGTACAACCTTGGGTATTCCATGTTCGCTGAAGATTTCTTTCGTCAGTTCTATTATCTTCTTACTGGAACATTGCTTGGGTAATTTTCTGACGAATGTGTARTTGGAGTAGTAATCAGCCATAAGTAGGTATTCATCTCCATCTAGATAGAATAAATCDGTCGCAACGGTATGCCACGCACGTGGTGGGACTTCCGTTTGGATAAGTGGTTGCTTTTGTTGACTCTTCTGTAGTTCTTGGCAGATTTCGCACGATTTGGTGAGGTTGTCAATATCTTTGTTGAGATCTCTCCAATAGACTGAGGTTCTCGCCCGAAGCTTCGTCTTCTCTGTTCCTTGGTGTGATGCGTGGAGTTTTAGTAATATTTCTGGTTGCATCTCTTTAGGAATGATGATTCGGTGACCCTTCATCATTATTCCGTCTTCTAGGGCAATCTCGTCTCGGTATGACCAGTAGGGCTTCAAGATTTCAGGTACTTCCTTAATAAGGTTAGGCCATCCTTGGTAGACTTGTTCCTTCAGAACTTTTANCCACGCACGTGGTGGGACTTCCGTTTGGATAAGTGGTTGCTTTTGTTGACTCTTCTGTAGTTCTTGGCAGATTTCGCACGATTTGGTGAGGTTGTCAATATCTTTGTTGAGATCTCTCCAATAGACTGAGGTTCTCGCCCGRAGCTTCGTCTTCTCTGTTCCTTGGTGTGATGCGTGGAGTYTTAGTAATATTTCTGGTTGCATCTCTTTAGGAATGATGATTCGGTGACCCTTCATCATTATTCCGTCTTCTAGGGCAATCTCGTCTCGGTATGACCAGTAGGGCTTCAAGATTTCAGGTACTTCCTTAATAAGGTTAGGCCATCCTTGGTAGACTTGYTCCTTCAGAACTTTTAGTTCGTGGTCTTTGCTGGTGGAGTCTTTGATTCTGTCTAGCATGTTGTTACTGAACTGTGGACACACCAGATGGATTCCTACGTTCATGTCTGGTATGGGGTACTTCTCTTCAGGAGACAATCTGGATAGAGCATCAGCGATCTCCATSTGSTTTCCGGGTCTGTATTGGATTACAAGATCATATGGTTGCAAACGCAGCAGCATTCTCTGCAGTCGSGGTGGCGCTGACATTAAGTGTTTGAGATGTATGCTCTCCAGGGGCTTATGGTCTGAGTGGACTTTGAACGGTCGTCCATATAGGTAGGAGTGAAATCTTTCGCATCCATATACCAMAGCTAACAGTTCTCGTTCGATGTTCGCATAGCGTGACTCTGTTTCGTTAAGTGCTTTGCTCGCGAACGCGATGGGCTTGCCTTCTTGTAGTAACGTTGCTCCTAGACCTTTCTGGGATGCGTCGGCCTGTAGGATCGTTTCCTTGTTGGGGTCAAAGTAGGTCAAGGTGACTTCTTTACTTATTGATTCCTTAACTTTGTCTAACGCTTCTTGGTATGTTGCATTCCATTTGAAGACGCTAGTTTTCTTTATCAGTTCACGCAGTGGTGCGGTTAAGGTACTAAGGCTGGGAATAAACGGTGCCATGTAGTTTGCCATTCCTAAGAACGTTTGAAGYTCTTGCTTGTTTGTTGGCGGATTCATTTGCTTGAGTGCAGACACTTTGTCGGGGTCTGGTTTGATTCCGTCTGGACCACAGATGATTCCATAGAATCTAATGCTATCTTGCTTGATGAAGCATTTATCTGGATTGAGCTTTACTCCTGCCTCTCTACATCTTTTCAACATGCCATGCATGTTGGARTCGTGATCTTCCTCGTTTTTGCCGAAGATTACGATGTCGTCTGCAATTCCAATCACGCCTTTACACCCTTCAAATGTCTGATCGATTCTCGTTTGGAAAACATCTTGCGACATTTTCAGTCCAAAAGGCATTCGCTTGAAACGGTACCTTCCGTAAGGTGAGTTGAATGTTGTAAGGTAACTGGATTCTTCATCTAGCATTACGTTCCAGTAGCCGCATTTGACGTCGACTATGGAAAACAGCTTCGCTCCGCTGAGCTTAGGAAGAATTTCTTCTAATGTGGATGTTGCGTGATGTTCTCTGAGGATTGCCTCGTTGAGGTCTTTCGGGTCAAGGCATAGCCGTAGTCGTCCGTTGGACTTCCTTTTGTATACTAACGAATTGACCCATGCGGTCGGCTCGCCTTCTTTTATCTTCGCGATGATGTCGTTGTCAATCATCTCGTNAAGTTGGTTGTTGTTGTCAGGCCAAGGATTGCAGGTCCTTGGGTGTCTGTGACGTAAAACATCGCTTGCGCTCTTTTCGCTTTGTACGAGCACGGTATAGTAACCACGCCTAGGTGTTTGATCTGGGCACCACCATAGGCTACGAGAATGTTTGTTGATGGTTCTAGAGCTCCACTTCTTGGCGCTCCATAGATGTCGATGTTATCTGGAAACATTTGTCTGTAGATCCGTAATGGGAGGACATTTCCTTGGGCTCCGGTGTCAATCTTAGCTTTGAGAGTGCATGGTAGGGGTTTCCAGGCGTTGTCTATACGGTTTACTTCGATGTTTAGCGTCGCATAGACTTCATTGTTGTCATGAGTGCTTCTTTGTTCTACTGGCTCAATTTGGACTGTTTCGAAATGGATTGACTCGAAGCTCGTTGGACTCGTTGGGGATTCGCTTGATGTCTGTAAGTTGTGAACTTGACGGTTTGCTCTCTTTCTGCATACTTGTATGAAATGACCTTGCTTTTTACAGTAGTTACATGTTTGTCCCCTAGCAGGGCATCTTTCTTTAGTACCATGTCTTCTTCCGCAGTTTTCACATTGGTTGTGGACTCCCTGTGGTGATTTCTGTTGTTGTTCTTTTGCTTGGGCTCCCTGTGTCAGTTTCCGCTGAGTTCCAGACGCGTGTCTGGGAATCGATGTATGTTGTCTGTGATGATTAGATTTCTTGATTAAATGAACATTTTCTTCTCTAATATCGTTCGCCATAGCTTTTAATTCTTTCTGTGATGCTTCGTATGACCTGGCAATGCTTATTGCTTTCTCGAGGGTGAGAGACGTGCCTTCATCRAACAGTTTTTYTCTTATCTTCTCGGTACAAGTACCAATAACAATTCTGTCGCGGATCATGTCGTCAATTTCTTTAAACTCGCAGTCTTGCGCTAGCTTTTYTAGGTCAGTTACGAATTGTTCTACGGGTTCATTAGGGCTTTGTACTCGCTTATGGAACTTGTATCTTGCAAATACTACATTGGATCTTGGGTTTACGTGTTGCTCGAATCGCTCATAATATGTTTTGAGCTTACCTTTGTCGTCTTCGGATATATTTGACCATGTGCTATATACATCTCGGCCTTTCTGACCGACCCAGATTAGGAGGTAACTACACTTTTCAGGCTCGCTGCGAGATTTGAGTGGACCAGTAAACATTAGTTCGACGTGTTGCTTGAAACGTCGCCATTCTTCGCGTAAGTTATCACTGTTCCATTTCATCGACGGCGCTTCAATTCCACTCAATGCCATCCTGAGTTATTAGCTGACTTGTTTACTTCTGACACCATGTAATAATAACGAATCGTAGAGTTMCGGAGGCTTTAATAACTCAGAAWTAACCGTACTGGTACATGTTGCATGCTTTCTACACACGCGGTTCACACACACACATTTTACACACGCATGCGCGTAACATGTGATTACATAATCATGACACAGCGAGCAAGTTTCTTCATATCCAATGGCTGTTACCCAATCCCATGGCTCCTGATCAACTTTCAATAAACTACTGCGAATATAGATGATGATGATATTTTTTAACTGTCTTGTTTTAGTGTTGACCTCAATGAGAAGCGCAGTGAAGATAGGTGTTTCCAAGCCAGTTCCACAAGGTATTATATGACTTTAAGTCATCGTACACAATCCATTAAACAAACGTCCGTCACCTTCGATGATAGGTTTTGTGACTGCTTTCAGCAAATAATGTTATTTGAATCGAAAGCGTGCAACACACTGTCGCATTCCCGCTAAAAAAGACAAAGTTAACTTATAAGCTTTTGCCTACATCTTTCTTAGCAAATAATTGTCCTGCAATTGCGCTGTATGTAGAACACTTGCGGCTTGCGAATATTACTGTGTAGAAGTGTATTGATGTTGTTGTCTTTACTTTGAAGGTTTTGGTACAGAAATCACGTGGGTTCCTTTGAATGATGCACTTTCCCAGGCTAAAAACAGGTAACCCATAATTATCAAAATACAAAAATAAT